GATTATTCTTCTCGAACTCGTGCACAAGCTACGTTCTGTTCGGAATCAAACGCCTCTACAGAATGAGTCATTAAAAGTTGAACAAATTCGCGGAGGGGGCGATCGTCTCCGCCTTTGTTCCCATTGCGATATCCTGCCGATTTGCAATCTCCGTCGCGAAAGTAAGGGCCCAGCGGATCTAAAACGATTGTAGTAAATAAAACGCGCTAACGGCAATGTTGTTGTGCGTGATAATATCGTTCTCCCACAGCGCTCTCTCTATTGACATCAACGGCGCACAAACAATAATTGCATTAGTTTAATAATATTTATCAGCTCAACTTTTTCAATTATACCCATTTATTCAAGGTTCTATTGTATTATTTACCTGTTATTTATCTTTCAAATTCGTTTATGTTTTCTGGGTTTATTACAAATTTAAAACATAAAATTTCCACACAAATGATTTTATTAAATCTTTCAATCCCTCCCAGTTGGACCTGTATTGCATTGTAATATAATTTTGTCACTGCGTTTCATACATGCGTTTCTAATGCATTATTCTAATCGATTCTACGATGACTGAAAGAATCAGCGGCGACACGAGGATAAGGAAAGACTGCGTTGCTAAAAATAATAAAAATTCATAGTGTTGTGCGTGTGTGTATGTGTCGTTTCGAGACATTATATGGAAAAATATACAATATTTTCTCTCAGGCGCGGCAAATTCTGCTAAGAACTCACAAATTCTTCATTCTCTCGAGCCGTGCACACATCGTCCATCTCTTGTTAAAAAAATAACTCGAAAGTGTATAAATTATCGAATACATCAATGTGTCTTTCTCGCAAATACTCAAACTTAACCCGATATTAAATAAATGATATGAACTGAGCAACTGCAGGTAATCTAGTAATTGTGAGTAACAAGATAAACGTAACCAAAATATTCGTGAACACGCATAGTTAACGAACATTACCACTTATAAATTATCGGCCATTATCGTGCACAGGTTACCGGATATCCCGTGCAATTCTTGTTTCTCCAAATAAGCTTTTAAGCATTCGTTACGAGTCTGATTTATTTTTCGTGTAGCTGGCGTACCTTCCTATACTAATACCATACGCGATACCCGAGTATCGTATTCTATTTCCAATTTTACCATTTCCATTACGCGGCGAGCTATATCGAATAATTATTAACGACGACGTTCCGCCCCGCGAAGCGTTCGCATACAACGCGACGGACTTTACCTCGGAACACCGTCCCGGTCCCGGCGGTGGCATGAAAAATTAATGGGATACATCGCGCCATCCCGAGTGCAATCCACTTCCGAACCACTCGAACGCTGTAGTTCGAGTATTCGTCGACTTTATACATTGTCGATACGCGTCGTGGAAATATATCGTTTTCGCAGGTCGATCGATTTCTCGAACCCAAATCTCCGAGGACTTGTTAGTGATCTTCGTGCGATCGTACAGGCAACGCAATCGAGATTCATGCAGATGCGATTATGCAACTGCGACTCCTCCTGCGCTTCCAATTAGCAAGAGGATCGAGAGACGTTGCGAAGTTGCGAAATGAATTTCAATCCTCGAAGAGAACGAAGCACTCGTCGCGGAATCCAACCGAGTGCTACGTTCGGTTGTTGAAATCATTTCAGAATCGCGCGGCAAAGTTCGATATTTACATTCGATTACGTCGCCGATCTTACGATGGCATTCGATGACCTCTTGATGATACCATATGTATTTATTTTATCGCGCTTCTGATATTAGAAAAAAATACTGCTTATTACTTCTGCAATATTAAAAAAAAACATTTCGTAAAAATGTTGAAGTACAATGAAGAAGAATGAAAATGCGACATATTTTATGGCTTTCAATCCATAAAATCCATTCAATTCTGTTATCATTCTCTCATTTGGAATCGTGTGTGTAATTGGATTATTTAAAATCAATTTTTAAAAAATTATTCCATACTCTAGCTCTTACTTCTTTATAATTTGTCCTTGTAATTCTGGAACGCTTGAAATAATGACCAATCGATATCAATCCACTTGTTACAGAATTTCAATATTAAAACGTACGACACTACTAATCATCCTCATTAATGTTCTTTGAACAATTATTATCGATGGCTTCGAACAAAGAAAAAAGAAACATCTTATCAGAATATCTGATAAGAAGTCTGTTCTCTCCAGCGGCGGAAGATAAAAGCGTCTTGCTCTTTTCAAAGTCAAAGAAATCCGAGCGTGTTCGAAATATATCTTACGATCGATACTGCGCGATTCCGGTTTACGCTCGAACTTTTTACGTCGCACGCAAGTAGCCTCTGAGGCAATTTACGGCGAGTCTTCTTCCACGGATTCTCGTATCCTCCTGGCTCGGAGCTGGCAGCTTCCGGCGATTTAATTTAAACTTGTTTGTCTGGCGCGTAAGTTTCTTGTCGGATGAATCTCGGCCGTGCCGATGAGCCGCCGCTGTGCAGCTTATACAATTATGAATATTAATTTTCCATCCCCGCGCGACTGCCATCGGGACGACGCGGACGAAGAGGGATGTATTATTTGATAGAATCTAAAAATGTATACGGGAATATAAAAGCAGCTGTGCCTCCCGATCGTTAAAGGCTGCACGAGCAAGAGAAAAAGAGAGAGAGAGAGAAAGAGAGAGAATAGAGAGAGAGAGAGAGAGAGAGAGAGAGAGAGAGCGCAGATAATCGATTACACTGGCATTAAGAATTGTTGCACCACGAATTATTCGTGGCATTACTGCAATATTAATAATAATAATTCATTACAGCTTACTTGTCAAACCATTAGACAATCTCATTATATATGGATTAGTTTAAAACTTCGCTCACTGAAATATTAAATAATTTTTAAAAATCGCTACATAAAGGATCGAAATGTCAACTTTGCCGTAAAAAGAAATCGTTTCGAAATCCGATGAAAGCAAATAATTCTCGCGGCGTTGAGCATCGGGGCATTGAACACGCGAAAGAACGTATTATCAAATTATTTTCGACGCGTATACACGCACGGAGTGAGCAATGAATAATTCGGGCCGCGAGGCCAGCTTTAAATTTTCGGGGAAACGAGCGTGATATCACACGTGAATGGCCTGCAATCTGTTTGTGTCTGAGCCCGCCGTCCATTTTCGATCGTCAAATCCGACAGGAATTATTTCGCGCCGATCAATTAAAAACCCTCCGGTTTGTCCTTTGACGAACTGTCGATGGTCAATTAGTCGATGAGAAAATTGAAGGATTTTTCATTTTGTGCGTCGTCCGATTAAAAAAAAAAAAATCCATTTTTGCCGAAACGCGGTAGAGTTCGGCGAAATCTGATAAGCCAGGTACGTACGCTATCGAGATACTCGCGTACGTACGTTCGCTGCATCGTCGAATGGAAACGTGACACTCGAATCGTATTTCTCCAATAAATCGCTATCTCTTTCCACAATATTCTTAATTTTCAACATTCGGGAAGTATCTTATAACGAGTATCTACCGTTAAAAAATAAAAATGTGCATAACGTGTTCGACTTATTGTGTTCGTAAAAATTTAGATAAATAATACTAATATCTTTGATATACACAAAGAGAGCGGAGCTCGATCTCTCTGATGCTCAATACGCGCAGATATAAAGCGTAAAGCTTGAATTGCAATTTCACCACATCCACCGAAAGCCATCCGGCTTTCACGTGTAATTATAGCGACGTATTACAATCTCTCGCCGGCAAAAGAACTTTTCATTACAATCCCTCTACGCTTCGGAATAATTGCAAAAACGAATTATTCGCCCCGGGTCGATCTTGGTCGGCCAAAGGAAATCGCTCGAATCGCAATTTTCCTCAGTCACCACCGTTGTTTCCGGGGTTAGGGGAAAATGGAGGAAGCGGGAAAAGGAGGGGAGGGAAAGGACGGGGGAGGAGGAGGGAGGGGGAAGGACACGTATATCTCCTTTCTACCTCTGTTTTTCATGGAGATTAATCGAACGCTGTCGCGACCGCGGCATGTTACCCGGGCGCCATGCGATTCGTCGCGTTTCGGAGTGATTCCGGAAGTGGCGTTATTAATGACATCGTGGGGTTGATTGCTTTTCGACGGGAGGGTACGAAACTCCCCTCGTCCCCTTCTTCTCGTCGAAATTCCCGCCGTCGCCGTCCCCTTCCCCCCCCCCCTCCTACCCTTGTAATCGATGAAAAATGTTTCAATTTCGTTTCGTCGAGAGTCCGCTTTCATTTTCGGACCGAGTAGGAAAAAAAAGAATCCCAGAGCCGGACAAATCGGATCACGCGCGCCGGTTAAATATTCGCTCTGCCCTCTTTCGCAGCGAGAAAATATTGATACCGATACACATGAAACGGGGTGGTGGTGGTGGTGGTGGTGGTGGTGATGGAGGGGAAGGTAGAGGGGGAAACAGGAATCGAAAGTATCGCGCAGCGTCGAAATTGACGGTCTTTTGCATATTCATAACGTGGGTAACTTGTTCCGCGGCTATTCGGAAAATTCGAGACATTCTCCCCGGGAAAATATTCGGTACCGCTCTTTTTTTTTGTTTTGCGTAATAGCCGGGCGTGCGAGCGAGTGATTCGCGGTCGTTATTTCACAGGCGAATAAAAAGCCTCTGGGCGCGCGAAAACCGCAGTTTTCTTTTGTATCGCGTAAACTACGTTCGAACGAAGCTTTTAATGCGCTATGGAAGTTCGGGTATTTTTATGGAATTCACCGGGGGGGAGG